ACTGCTTCCCGGTCCCCAAGGAAACGGCCTTCCACGTCTCCGTCCTCCGGCCGGTGAGTTTTCATGTCTTTCCTGTATAACTAATCGAAACGAGCCGACTGACAGGCTGGATGTGTTACTTTAACAGCCACAAGAAGGAAAAGAAGAAGGACAAGGACCGCGAGAAGAACCGCGAAAGGGACAGGAGGGAAGAGCGGAACCACACCAGAGATGAACGAGAACGCTCCAACAGCAAGAAAAAGAAGAACAAAGACAAGGAACGAGAGCGAGACCGCAAATCCGACAGCGAGAAAGGAGACGTAAAAGTATGTGACCAGAAACAAATTCTCACATGTAGCCCTGATCTTAAAATACCCCAGACTGAAAGCTGTGCTGTAGATGTTGGAGCTACTTAGCTTCATCTGTGCTTTCATATGCAAACAAAACCTCCCATGTTTGTTGAGTGATAGGATACTCTGGTGTTTCAGGTTACACGGGACTACGATGAAGAGGAGCAAGGCTACGACAGCGATAAAGCAGGAGAGGAGGAAGATGAGAGGAGGAGCGAATCGGATTCTGTGTCATCTCCCAAAGATCAGGAGGAGGTGGAGCGAGACGAGCGTCAAACGTCCAAAAGGTCCAAACTAAACGGAGACGATCGCCATCAGGAGGACATGGAGATGAGCGACTAAGAACTTTCTGTGCCACCATCTACTGAATTCTGTTCATATTCCTAATCTGGGCCTCGTCACTGTTAGCAGGTTTTTATCTTAACAGCAAAGTCCTTGTGGACAGAGGGCCTAGATCTGATCATTTTTGTAAAGATAATAAGAGATCAGGAGATCAGGATACAAATGACATGAAATATGGTTTTTAAACTATGATTTGTGCCATTTGTTTAGAGATCATGTTTTTAATGCTGTGTAGTTTTCCTGAAAACTGAACATTGAATATTTTCAGTATTTTTTTTTTCCCCACCTCACTTGTCTTGATTTAAAAATCTTTTCCTTGTTGTCATTTATCAACCAGCACCATGTTTCTATAAACTGTGGGGAAGTTAAGGTTAACTTTAATGCACTGTAATGAAGCTGTTAACCAGAAATATAGATGTGTGTAAACTGGCTCCAATACATTGTTTAACAATTACAAAACAAAGTGGCTTCAACTCTACTTGAGGCAGAGCAGTAATAATTGATTTAATAATATATAAACATTTTGAGTCTATTATGTTATTTCTGGAAGTGTACTTTTGATTTACTGCAGCTGACTAACACAATTTAGCTGTTGCTGCAGCATAATGTCCACTGTTTCTACTTTTTAGTAGAAACAGTGGACATTATGGGACATATGGACTATGTTGGGATTTTTGCTGTAGAGTTGATATAAATTCTCACAGAAAAAAATTTGGGATTGGAGCAGCTGAAGTCGGGATGAAATGTCTGTTAAATGTACATGTTGAATCAGGTCAAGAGGCACAAACACACTAGCAAAACTTTACTGTACAAAGGAATGTCATGGAACAATGAAAACTTGGGTTTTAAATAAAAGCACTGTCTAAATAATTGTGTTGCTGAATTACTGACCCATGCAGACGTCTGTTATTACAAGAGGACTCAGGTGTGCTCAGCTTTAATCCAACCTGCCATCAGAAAACTACTGTACTTAGTATTGCTTGGTCATTTTTTGTGTTCTGCACCAAATCAAGTTGCTTTACCCTTACTTAGCCGATCATGATACAAAATTAACTACCGGTACATTATAATACTTTGATATTTGAGATCATCAAACCAGAGTTGAAACAAAAAGCCATTTTCCAAATAATTAATGAAGAGAGGGGAAACTATCTGAATCTACTAACTTATCTGTGACAACCCAAAATATTTTGGACAATAATGGCTGACTAGACCTTTGAGGAAACAATTTAGCATAATGATTCAGGATATACTTCCAAAAAAGTTCCACTTTCGTCTCACCGGACAGTATAATTCTAAAGATCTTCAGAATCATAAAGATGTTCATCTGTTAATTGTTCTACCTTAAATAGAAATAAGGAATACAAACAATGTAGCTCAGAGAAAGCAGCATTCAGGCTCGATGCTCCTTTACTCTGGAACAAACTCCTAGAAAACTGCTACTGAAACACTTGAGTTGCTTTAAATCAAGGCTAAACCCCTGTTTATTTAGAATTGCCTTTGATTAATTTATTTGCTATGCTGCCAGTCTTGTTTTTCTTTTGTTTGTTCACTTTGTTGAAATGTGCTATAAGGCCAGGTTAATAAACATTTTTCACATAATAAATAATCCTCAGAATACTGTTTTTTGGATTACCACAAGGCATTTTTGTTATCAAAAATGCATTTGATGATCTGAAGGATCAACATGTGCAAAGAAACAAGGATTCAAATACACTTCAGGTAAAATCTAAAACTTAAATATATTCTTTATAGGAAATATGCACATCTATAGTACATATTTTCCAAGGAAACAAGAAAAACTCTTACCTCTAGCAATAAAACCAGATTATTAAAAATGACATAATTAAAAATATTTTTACTGACTTCTGCAGTTTCCTGAAGTTTGTAATAAGAGAACAGCAGCATGTATGTTTTGCCATTGATAAAGTGGAGAGGCATGATGTCCAGACAGATATGAGGAATTTTTATTTTTTTAGTACATTTTATATGAAAATAGTGTTGCTGACTTATACAACAGTTTTTAGCTGTACAACTGACATGTAGTTTAATGGAGAAATGCCTACAGAAAACATTTAAATTGGAGGCAGGAAATTAACAAATAAAACATGGAAACGGAAGAAGAGACACACCTCTACTAGCTGAACCTAAAGTAGCTTGGAATGTCATGAAACAAAGAAAACTGGAACTAAATAAAAGCAACATTTGCTGAATGACTGATCCACCTGTACAACAGGAATATCCTGCAGTCGCCAATTTTTATGAACAAGAGCAGCTCAGTTTCTTTGTTTCATCTTTTCAGATGGAATCTTTGCAGGTGTTTTGTGCTTGTTTTTTTGTTGGTTTTTTTTTAAACACAACCTCAAATAAGTTATTCCAAACATATCAGAGAGATGCATTATTGAAGAAAAAGATGATCAAACAATTCAGATATTACTGCTCATTTAAACAAATGTACGTAGAAAATTGTACCACAACTTACAAACCAATAAGAGCTTGAGATAACCCCAGATGCTACATTAAAAAAAATTAAATTACTCTCTTGTCAGTTCAGAGAATTAAAAAAACAAAAACAAACAAAAAAAAAAAACACCCAAAACCCAACAAATATACTGCACAGAGGAAAAGCCCTGGTTCTATGTGTTAACTCTGTATGTATACTGTAATCATTAAAACCATAAGATCTGGGTTGTCTATATTGAGCCTGCTTTAACAGATTTGCTACACAGATTAAAATTAATTAGCACAACTTAAGTCTCACTGTTGCTTATTGAGACTGATGTACCGTGAAGATCTGCAGCTGTAACTTTGATCTTTCAGAAGCTCAATTGAAAGTTTGACATCACAAAACAAGTGTCTAAACTGAAGAGTTGTCCTAGAGAGTCTAAATAGTGACCAGGTGTAGAGTGATACGACTCCATGCTTGTGAAAATCTTCGCTCAACACAAACAATTACACATTTTGCTATGTGGAAAGGAGGAATTATTAAAAAAAAAAAAAAGAAAAAGAAAAAAAGCTGATTATGACCCAAGAAAAAGAACTTATTTTCCCAAATGTACAATTGTCATTACATGTCTTTTGATCCAGTAAATATGTTATCATTGATTGGTGGAAGTAATTCATTAAGCAATACAATAATTTTAAAGTGTAAACCAGACATTTACATACACTGTATGAAAAGCCAAAAAAAAAAAGAGATCAATTTTAAATCAGTTAGGACAGCAAAAATATTTCTATTTGCTAAATACCAGAAGAATGAGAAAACATCTTAGCACCAAAATACATTAAATATCTGCTGTTGCTATATCAACCCTTCAGACCACTCTGGTCTTCTGGTTCTGCTCTGCATCCCCAGAACCAGAACCAAACATGGAGACTCAGCATTCAGCTTCCATGCACCACAAATCTGGAACAAAATGTCCAGAAAAGTGCAAAACACCTGAAACACTGAGTTCCTTTAAATCAAATCAACAAAACGTAATGTTGTTACTGGTTTCTCAATTAGCGATTACACTGTTTTTTTTGTGTGTGGGTTTTTATGAAACAAAACAATTTGAACCACCTTGGTGCTGAAACGTGCTATACAAATAAAAGTAATTAATTAATTTTGATTACTTTCATCATTTACATGCTACTATTCCTTTTTAATAATTTTGGCTCACTTGTGCATGTATTATATGTCAACACCTCAAACTAACCCCATGTTGTGTGATATCACAAAAAAACCAAATGAAATTGGCAAAGATATTGGGAAGGGAATTACACACACACACACACACACACACACACACACACACACACACACACACACACACACACACACACAAGTACGTGTTTTGGTTTGAAATGTGTGTATAAATCCCAGAACAAATGGGTAATTTTCAATTCTGTCCTACAATCACTTGTGAGCAAGACACCAACATATTTAAACCATCTTAACTCAAGTCATACAGTTTAAATACAGAGGAAATATGTGGAAACTTTTTGGAAGAAAAAACAACCCAAAACTCCAGAAATAATGTTGGTAATACTAATAGATCTAAAACAAGAAGAAAGTGTCGGTGTCAAAAAATGTGTCTTTTTGTTAATGTACAGAAATATCTGGTTTCAGCGGTATATGATTGTACTCTTTGTATTGACCGTAAATAGAATAAACTTAAAAGGTTTTTGCATTTCGAGCTGGTTTTGTCCACTTTGCTCAAATAATAAAAGAACCTAAAATGAACTTTGAGCAGACTTCCCATAAAAGCATCTCACACAATATTATCAGTGCGTCACTACATGTCAGTTAGACACAGTCCCTTTAAAAACAACACAGACTTAAATACAAAGCGTCAACTGACCTGGTAGTTCTTTATTCTACTCTTACCTCATATAAATAAAGCCCCCTGCTCTGCTGCCATTTTTTTCACTTCAATGCCCTTTGATGAAAAATCTCGGCTACCTACACTTCCTGCTGTGCCGTGTCAGATTTGGAGGTTAGAGTAAGAATCAGCAACACCTCAGCTTATGTTCACATCGACTGAGGTCAACTCCTCTGCGGAGTTGTTCCTGTGTGTCTTCTCATCCCGCTGTTGTACAGTCTGTGTTCAGAGTCTGAGCATGTGACAGGGGTTTCCATTCATAAAAGGTGTGTTTTGTAGGATTAAAAACCAAGGCGAGAGGTTAAAGGTCGGGGAATCGGCTTGGGTCTTCTTTGTAGTCAGTGGGAATGGTAAAAATGGATTCATCGAACTCGTCGTAGCGAAACTCCTGAAACGTGACTGTGGCTGTAATAGTAGGAAAGACGGGGATGTCTGCAAGAAACCACAAAGACACAAGTCACTGAGTGAAATGGAAATATTTCCCCAAACCGCAGCGATCTGGTCCACAGTGAGTGTCTGCTTACCGAGTTTGACAGGAAAGCCAGGAGGGAGCTTCATCTGAACAAACTCCCTGAGTTTATTAAAGTGCTTGAAGGGTGCAATCACCTCCAGGACATTCAGTAACCTGAAGGAGGGCGAAAGCAATCATCGTCACAGATTTGGCTTTATCAACAAGAACGAATAAGCAGCGCAGATTAGACCTTCACATGCACTGCAGATCAACATGAATGTCATCAAATTTTTAGGTTTTAAGTTATTCGACTGGTAGCTATGAACAAGACCCTGGCATGCCTTAGACTGAATATCTGGCTCTTAAGGACAGACAGAGCTCATTTAAAGTGGTTTGCTTTTGAGAACCATAAACAACATTCAGTATACACAAGTCGAGGGCCATAAGTCATTCCAAACCCAGTTCTGATGTTTGTTTGGGATCATTGTCCTGTTTAAGCATCCAAATTTGTCTTTGCTTTAAATGGCCAGTTGAGGACATAAAGGGAAGTTGTTTAGAGGAAGATTTTATTCTTCATTGTCCCACCCACCAGTAAAAGAGACACTTAGCATGACTCTATAAACTTCTCAGCATCACTGGAGAAGTCAAATTTTCATCACAAATCGATTTAATGACTGACTAGAGGGCATCTAAAAATAAACACTCACGACTCAATGCCCAGAGGGAAGTCTTGACTCATGGCTATCGTGGCTTTGAAGTTTTTCTTGCTCTCTTTACAGACCAGCTCCCGTCCTAAATGAGGTGCTCTGTGGAGAGAGATGCAGCACACAAGACGACATCTCAAAACATGCCATCATGCACCAGTTAAAAATTCTCTATATACTGATCATGTAGACTTCTCTTTCACAAAGCAAGTTTTAGGCACTTACCTTCCGTTGTCTGCAGTGATGTATTCCTCCCAGGAAATAGTGTTGGGTAAAGGGGGGGTTAAAGACTGCCTTCTCGTCGGCTAAAAGAAACAAAGGGAAGGCTGAACTTAAAAATCATCGGCATGGAAACAGCCCCCAAAAAATAATCAAGGAAGTAAAATTTTATTTAAACATATCTATTTTCCTAAAATGGAAAGGAAAGGAATAGTTATTTGCAAATATTTACAGTTAGGATGTACAATATTAAGAAGTCATGTTATGAAGATACTGTTGCATATTGCAATTATGATAAGTCCACATTAACATATCACAACACTATGTGACCTTTTAGTGTTTTATCCACTTTTTTCATTGAACATATTACTGGAATGCAAGGCAAGAATTTATGATTAAGAAAAAGTATATTTAAGCAGTCCTTTGCAATACTAATATTACCACAAAGCTGTTTTTATTAGGCACTTCTAATGACATTAACATTGAGTTCAGGTTTGCACTCTGGGGGGGTCTATAATTATCAAGAATTATTTTTAAAGCAAGCCTGTGATGTGGTCCAATAATTGGCTTCATAGCTTTTGTTCAGACAATGGGAAAATTGTTAATGTTATTTCATAATCATGCAGTCACGCAGGTAAAAAGATCTGGAGTTAAATACGTCACAAGATCAGTTCCTTCCTGAGGAAACAAGCCTTTGAAATCCGTATCTCAGGTTCTGAGTGTGGACTGATTATGTAACATAATTACCCAATAGGTAGGCTGTGGTTCACCTTTATACATATTGTCAGTTTACTGGTAATCTGATTGCTCCATTGAGCCTGGTTTGCGTACGGAGACCCTGCTAGGACTTTAAACCTAAAACAATGCAGTCCCCCAGGTTCATGGGGATACCTAAAAACATTTTCAACACAGTATGGTCGTCTCTAGAGATCCTCCAAAAATGCCAACAATCAGATTTTAGTTTGTAGTTATTTAAATATTTGACTTATACGATCTGCTAAGAAGGCTTCTCTTAAATTAGTTCCCCCAATTAAAGAGAATCCTCCTAAATTGTGGGAACTTCTTGTTCACAATTAAACAACTCACAAAAGTTTTCGTCAGGGAGCCTCTGTCCTCTCTGATAGTGTGTACAGAGAGACACACCCCAAATGAGCTGCAGATGTAAATGAAGTGAATGATTCTTCATCAAAGTGTTGATTCAGGATAAGCTGAACATAAATGAATATCACACTGTTCTGATTTTTATTCTAGCCCTTTAAACCAGTTAGGATTGCTCATTTGATCAAGGTGCTCTTATTATATCGCCAGGTAATTCTGCTTTGTGGTGGCTCTGACCTATGGAAGAGTCTTTCCATGAAGATGTTAACTTTTTTTTTTTTTTTAACTGGAATGTATTTAATGTTTTTGTTTGCATATGTGAATGCTTGTGAGTATTCTGTAATACTTTTACTCATGCTGCATTTCATTTTGGTTTTATCTTGAATTTTATCCAAAGCTCTTTGTGACAAATGTTTTGAAAAGTGCTAGATTATTAATGTTTTTCCATTAAATTGTAAAAATCATGCATCACTTTTCTCTCACATCACAATTATGAACTACTATGTATTGGTCGACAACATAAAATCAACAGAGAATTTATAGATGTTTGTGATTATTTGATGAACGGGATGGGGAGCAGAGTGATTACAGGCACTGTAGGTGCACCATTCAACTGTAGTGAAGGGACCTTGAAAATGTGAGATGGTTTAAAACGTATTGCTGCTGCAGGTAGGTAGATCAGAGCTCTTCCTCTGATTAATTTTATCCCCCAAAAGGAAACTCTTCCTACCACCAAAGCAGCGTGAAAAGGAAGTCATAAAAAGCATGCAGGAATTTTCTTTTCAAGCTAAATCATCTTTCCCGAAGAGAGGAATCTCTGTTCAGCCTTCTCTAATAAGTGTTCTTCTTCAGTTTCAGTTTATTTTAGGATTGGACAGCTTGTGCTGACTGTCCCTGAACCGGATCTGGGACAAGTGCCATCCCGTTAATCCTAAAATTGACATTCTCCCGGAATTAACTCCTTCTTGCCGATGTTCATGTATGAAAATGTTTCACTGTTACTCCATTTGACCCATCTCCTTCAAGCAGTGGTAAAGCAACAAGGGGAGATGCCAGGTCATCTTAATGTCCCAAGAGAAAGTTGAACAACTTGTGAAAAAGAACCAAGAAAAGCAACCTCAGATTTACAGATGTGTTTTTCCCGCATGTCACTGTGTGCCAGTCCAAGCATGTTGTTGTGATGAGAACAGAGAACACAAAAGCTGGTCAGAACCGAATCTACTGGTGTGCCAGTCCCCCTGGCCTCTGACTTTTTCCCTTTGTTTTTATGTTGTTTTTAAACAGATCCCTCATGTCATCAATACTGTCACGCTTAATTTGAAGGTCTTACACAATTGCTTGAGCCCACATGTTCTCTCACGCAACTGTTAACACACCAGTTGAAGCCCTATTCGCTGAAATCAAAGGTGAACTATTCCTAAAGTGGAGCTAAGATCCACCGTCACCCTGACTTTTCGCGTTCATAGCCCTGTAAATGGACTCGATGACAACAGAGGGCAATGTGAAGAAACAAAGCCTACCACAGAACAAGAGAGAGTGCACAAGGACAAAAAAAAAACAAAAAAACAAAAAAGAACAAGAGATCAGTTAAAAGGCATCCAGTGGGTGTTGAGAGGCTTTGTCTTTCCCATGTGACCAGTTCACTGTTGAGTTCAGACAACAGCTTGCTAAGCAAACTGGAACATACGACAGTGAGAGGAAGGGGATGCCATGAGGGGAGGTGTAGTTTTAATTTTTTCACCACAAGGTGGCAGAAGTGAGTCTAAAATATAGACCGGGTGGCTGACAAACAGGACATCAAAGAATCATCTGCCCCAAACGCAGGCAGGAATTTTTCAATAAGTCATGCAGAATTTCTGAACAAAGTCCATCAGGAAATCCATGCTGTTTCCACAGGCTTTATCCTCAAATGCAAATAGCAGTGAGATATTGTGACTTTTATTTAGTCTGAGAGACTCAGGTCCTACCCCAAGGGTCCAGCAGGACAATACAGTGTCAAGACTGGACTGATGGTTACGCTGCAGGTACAAGTAAACAGGATTTATATTTATGTGTAATAACGTCAGATATTCAAAGATCAATAGGCAACTTGAGGTTGAGCGCCTTGCCCAAGCAACACTGAAATGTGGCGGGGGGACGAAGTTACAACCCCGACCTTTCCATCCAATTACAGACTACGTTTTCAGTGAACCACACACTTCACGTTGCTACCAGAAACATTTCATATTCATGTAGTAGAGACAAAATGTAACAAAGATTAAGGGATAATAGATGGTTATGGTCTTTCCAATAAACAACGAAAGATCCAAACAACATGAAGTGTCACCTCAAAGTTCTGCTCAATGAGGTTTCCTCCTTTGCTCAGACTCTCCATAATAGCTTTATTCCTCAAGATGTCCTCCTCACTCAGATGCTCTCGTCTTTTTCTGGACTCCAGCACCAGGCCGTTCACAGAATAGAAATCTGCCAAGAAGTTTCCCACGCGCTCCTGGAGAGAGAAGAAACAGATCAGTCTGCCTCCTCTATCACCAATTTCCTCTCCAAACAGAAGTTAAAAGAACAAAAGATTAGGAAGACAGAATGCAATACCCCCTATCTCATTCACCGCCTCTGTTCCTCCTGCCCCATCTCTGTTGTTTTAGACCTCAAGACCATCACCTGTGGTCCTCTCTTATTTATTTACTCTATTTCATGCTGGTTTTCACAAATATAGCAGGAAAATGAGTATTTGGGTCAGAATGGCACAAAGTAATCACATTGTAAAAGCAAATAGCTTAAGGTCATGAGAAAAAAGTATGACACACTGTGAAAGCCTGTGTCTTTCTAACGTATAAGGACTTAGAATTATTGAACAAAAAGGCTGACAATACTGAGAGAGTTAAGTAGTGTGACTATACAAATACAACTGAAGAAAAGATAATAAAATATTCATTACAATGAAGTTAAGTAATGCAATTTCTGGTGAAAAATAAATTAGGACACCCCTTTGAAAAGCGCTAACACCACATCCAATTGTATCACATCATGTGACATGATTAGAACCTCTTTATTCGGCCAGAATGAAGAAGGTTTATCCAGTTTAAACTTCAGACATTTAGACTGGTTGATGAGAGACTAAACACCATGCTGAGATAGAAAGGTCTGTCTGTGGTCTTCAGAAAGATGATGTAAACATCTCTTTAAATGTGGAGAAGGATTTAAGGAGGCCACAAAAATAAATGAAATCATTCCACTGTTAGGGGAAATAACACTAAAAACAAACTACCTACATGTCTGGCTGTCCAGATAAATAAAGATAGAAGCTAAAACAAATCCCCTAACACAGTGGTTCCCAAACTTTTTCTCCTGGGGCCCCCCCAGTGGTTTCCAAACAGCTATTTGTAATCCTATGGATTACAAATAGCTGTTTGGTTGAACGAAGTTTGTGGGTGGGGGGAGGATTCTTGGAGACTCCCTGTCTCCAACAACGGAGGGGGAAGAGGAGGGGGGCTGAATCAACATTTTGGGGGCAAAATTAATGTACATAGCTGGACATAGACAACAACATCGGTAGCCTACAGGCTACTTGTTAAACTTAAGGTGCTGTATTGATATTAGCTAGTTATCTTTTAGCTAACTTTACCTGTATCCAACAGCTTTACTCAACAGTCTGATATTTTGGGGAAAAAACTTTGAAAAATTCTTTGCGTTTTGCTGCCATGATTCTAACACACCTGCGTAGCTCTGCACAACAGCAGCAGGTCTCCTTCACTGCCGCACAGGTGTAAACCCAGCGCGAGTGTCGTAGCGCTCATGTTGTGTTTAAAGGCGGCTCAGAAAAACAGGTTACCACATGTTAACAACGGATTAAACAGCTTTAACTGCTAATAAAAGTGTCAGAGGACACAGATATGAGAAGTGCAGAAGCCCCTACTGTATTAAATTGACATAGGAATAACAGAGAGGTGGCCATTCTAAGGAAAAAACCCAGCGCATATAGGGTTCATGTTTTTTTTTTTTTTTTTTCATCCAGACGGCTTCCCGCACCCCCCCCCTGCAATGGCATGGCGACCCCCTAAGGGGCGCGCCCCACAGTTTGGGAACCTCTGCCCAGAGGTGGAAGTGTCATGGTTCAGGGATATTTTGCTGCAGCTGGACCTGGTTAGCTCACCATCAAGAACTCTATTATGTATGAGATGTTGCTTAAGGAAAATGTAAGACCATTTGTAGATCTTTATGAACTTGAGAACATCCTATTAAAAGGTGAGTCTGTGTTAAAATTAAAAACCCTCATAATAACCAACACCAACCGTCTTGTCCTCTCTGAAAAGCCATCCAGTCTGCGCCCTGGAGAAAGTGATGGACTTGGTGGAAAGTGTGGCGGAGTAAACGTCACTGCTCATCAAAATGTCCACCTCCTCTTCTGTCTCCATCTCCAACTCCTATGAAGACAGAACAGAGGGACATTAATACCTACAGCTGAACCCAGGAGATTACATACAGCGAATATTGAGACAAATACAGCTGAACTCGTAGGCAACTTGTCTTGTTTTAGGTCAGATAGAATTACCAAAATGATGTATATTTGCTAAATGCCACAATAATGAGAGAAAGAATATGTCTGAGATTTATTAATGAATGTCTTCAAATCAGAAATATACATGCATAATTATTACCATTTCTTTAAACAACGAGGAAAAAGCTCAGATGATGATGTCATGAATTTGGAAACTTCTGATAGGCTAATTCAGAGATTTGAGTTAACTGGAGACACGCCTGTGGAGGAATATTAAGACCACCCCTCAAACACACTGCTTTCTGGTTTGACACAATGAGAAGGTGTCGCGTTCATCCGTTCAAACAATAACACTCAAGCATAACAATAATAGGAATGTCCAATCATCTTACCGGTCACTGAGTTCTGCCAGTTCTGTTAGGAAGAATGGACCAGAGCTCCAGTAAACTATTGTGAGAAGCTTGAGGAAGGAACTCTTAAAGATTTGACTCAAGTCATACAGTTCAACAGCAATGCTACCAAAAATAAATCTGACCTATTCATTTTCTCTTTATTGTGGCAATAAACAGGTTATTCAGAATCCTGGTGATTCTGAATGACTTAAAATAAGATAAGTTTGTTCTGACTAGAATAGCAAAGAAAAGTTAATTGATTTCAGTAATTCAATTCAAAAGATAAAATTCATACTGCATTATACCTTTTTTTTTCCAGATGTTTCTTTCTGTTAATTGTAATGATAATGGCTAACAGTTTATGAAAACACAAACTGAATATTATACAAGTCCAATAAAATACATTTAGATTTTTACTGAAAAGTATCTCCACATATTTGCACTCAGAGCTTGGTTGGTGATCCTTTTTCATGAATACTTTCAGAGTGGCACTGAGGTGATCAACCTGCAGCACTCCTGAGGTGTTCAGCAAGCCCACATCACTTTAATAACAGCCTTCAGCTCGTCTGCATTGTAAGCTCCTGTGTCTGGTTTCATCTTCCTATAGAAAATGTGTCATAGATCTTCAGAGAGGTTGAAAACCAGCCAGTTTGCTTGTAATTCAAGCATAGTGTAATTATAGGAGGTACTGATTCAGTGGAATAACACGAGAAGAAGAAATGGCTCATGAGATCATCATAAACCGTGGAAACACTGGACCTAAGAAAAGGTTCAATTGTTTTTCCTCCTCAGCCCAGGTATAATGCTTCTGATACTGTTTCTTATTAAGGAGATGCTTAACACAGGGGTTGTAACCTTTGTAGCCCATGTCCTTATGTGTGTGTTCAGTAGCTCTTGAAGCTCTGATTCCCATCAACCTGTCCTTCATGAATGTAACCCATTTGAGTCTTGAATATGCTTTGTTTCACAATCCTCTCACGGATATCCTTGTTTCTTGGGTACATTTTTAACCAAAATTTTTCTTCCACTGAATTTTCCAGTAATATACTTGGATACAGTTCTCTGTGAACAACAAGCGTCTTTGGCAATTGCCTTTTGAGGTTTACACTTCTCATAGAGGTGCATTTTGTGTCTTTAGTAAGTAGTAATAATCAAAATTAACAGAATTGAATGCTAGGAATGCATATGTCTATGTGTAATGAACTTGTATAGAGAGTGAGAGCGAGAATTTGAATTGAATGATAAATAAATGTACTTCTTAATGGGATTCTAATCCATTGAGATACACCGCTGCGTTTTTGCCAAACGCAGCTCATTTGTGTTCGTTATAAAGAACATGGCAGGTTTGGTGACCACCAGCTCTCACTCACCTCATGGTGTATCCGCTGGTAGACCTTTTGTTCATTGTCCAGAACAACAAATGACTCAGAGGGAATAGCATTGCCGTTGAAGATGAAACTGAGGTCTCCCCGCTGGCATTTCATATCAGTAAAGTCTATCAGGGTTGTATCCAACCTATAACCACAAATTACATTTAAAGAGACAAAGAAATAAGGTTTATTTAAAAGAGTGGGGGGGTGGGATGTTAAAATAAATTGCAACATGACAACCAAGGAACTCACTTGCAAAACTTATTGACCTAATAAAACCAGTAGAAAGTACAGTGTTAAAACTATGAGGTGTGGGAATGTTTCATATTTGCTCTCAGGCTTCAGTGGTTCTGGATGCTAATCACTGCCATGGGAAATCAAAAATGAACTTCAGACCCCTTATGTGTGTGCTTGTTTGTCTGTGTGTGCTGTCAAAGTCTGCAGCTTTCAACCAAAGCACGACAGCAAAGAGAATAACTGATCTGCATGTGAACACCAGACAGTACAGTGGAGGATGCCATGAGTAGGTATGAAAAGTGTGACATGCTGTAGCAGCAGAATGCAAATTAACTTGGTGTGACAGTTCCCCCCCCACACCGCTCTCCTCTCAGTCTCTCTTTTCCCTTTCTAAATCCCCAGAATAATGAGAGGGCATTTTGAATACCAAATTAGACAGCCAGGAGCAGTTTCAGTTGATAATGAGAAGCTCCACATCAAGGTTAGCTCTTATAGGAAAAGCACCCTGACAGAAAATACTCAAATTCATACTTCAAATAGGTTTAGGTGATAGGTTATGGCACTAAAATGTAGAGGCTCATGTTTATATTCTAGATAAAGGAGGAGCTCTTATTTTCATAACCTTACAAGAAGCTAATAAGAGTGTAACTACATGTCACAGATACACAAGCTTTGCCCCAACAGCTTTAGGTTTTTGCCCAAAAGCCAATGAAGTGATATGGATTCCCACCGAAGAGTCTTTACTGTGACTGTGTCAGCGTGTGTCAGTTTGACGACTTTTTGCTGGCAGTTTTAGTGAGTGAGCTAAACAGCACAGTAACTCCATCTACAAGGCTTCGACTCAAACAGAAAGACAGAAGTTACAGATCTAGACTCGGAGGCTGTGCCATTCGCTTTTCTCCCAGGCAGGCTATGATTTCACACTCTAGTTCACAAAACTGAGTTGACGAGCACAAATAGGAAGCAGAGGGGGGAATTGAAAAGAGCAGTTGTTGAGAGCAGTACAGAGAAGTTCTAAAGTTAATTTCAGTACACTCATTTTACTGAAAAAACTTTTCTCAAGTGCATTTTTTTTTTATAAGATTCACCTGATGTTGATGCCATGCTTGTAAATCTTACACGCATCTGATGGGAGGATTCTGGACAGCAAAGGCACTGCAACATGAAGAGACACAGAGAGCACATGTGAAACATCTCAACTACATCCCAATTTAGAAAGATTGCGAATAATTAACATTATTACATTAATTTTAAAGTTACAAAAGCGTGTAGATGTGCAGCTAGTGTTATCTGCAGGGGCAATAACATGCACTTCTACAGCTTAGTACTTTCACGTTAACAGTTAAAGAAAAACTGCAAATGCGTGTAAAGTGAAAAGTACAAAAAATTGCTGTGGCCGTCAAAAAGGGAGAAATACGTTTTCTGTAAAGTTCACATCCATGGACGTGATAAAAACTAAATTCAGCTTCTAAAATGCATGGATATTTGCTCTTTTCCACTTTTTCAATTATTTACAGAATTACAAACATGCCCAGGGGTGATGTTTACCCCAGAGTAAACAAAGATTGAGCATTTACCCTTGGCTTACTCTGGCCAATACTTATTTTTGGCCAGAAAAAGCATTTTTCTTACTTTGTCTGACTTTCATTAAAAGATCCAACATTAATAATACTTGAAATTACAATAATAGCTGTCTTATCCTGGAAAACTACTTTAAAGAGGACGTGTCTTCCAGCTGGAAGAGCAGTGTTCCAGTGGTCATTCTCCAAACAGCACTGGAACGAAGTCACTGAGCTGATAAACCAACTGATTCCTTAACACGCTTCACATCAGTCTGACTCAACAGTTAGATCAGGCTACCTCTTAACTGAATCTGGGAGGGTCATTTACAAAATGAAATTAAACTGTTGCTCTGTTTCGACATGCTGCAACCACAAACCTCAGTGTATTTTTAGAGTTTTGTGTGATAAACCAACACAAAGTAGCACTTAATGGTGAAGTGGAGGGACAATGACACATTTTTTTTTTTTTACGAATAAAAATCTGAAAAGTGTGGTGTGCTTTTGTATTCACCCAACGTGATTCTATTCTTTGTGGAACTACTTTTCCTCTAGAAGCACAGCTGCTGCTGCTTTGGGGTACATCCTTCAGTTTTACACACACAGAGAGTTTTTGCTTTGGAACAGCAGAACTGTTGTTTAACTTACCCCAACTCTGGAAGTCCCAGTGAAGCTCCAGGTAAAAGTCTCCCAGCTGGTAATAAAGACTCGGTATTAGTTAGAACAAGATGATTAATGATTAAGATTGATTATTAGTAACTGTGATTCTATACAAATAATACTCAAACTGGAATAAACAGTGAGTGGGAAATATATTGAGCTTTGTATCAATAAATGTTGAGTCATCAACTGAGCATTTACAGCAACAGGAAGTTAACAATGAGTCTGACTCATAACTAACTCAGTCTGTAATAAATTGCAAAGTCTTAATCATTTCTGAGACGTTATGACATGGAAAAAATTACCATGCTTCACTATAAACGTACAATCTCTTTATGTCTCATCGGAGGTGGGTAGGGGGAGGGTTAGGGTACGTTTTAACTAGTGGCAGCCGATGTCAGATTTCCCTAACAGTGTGTGTCAACATGGAGTTTTATTTACACAATATTTCCAACAAATCACTCTCATTCAACAGTGAATTTCATTTCTCTTCTGGCTTGCTCATCAAAAGTTGCATAATGATATCATACAGTTTACAGACAATGCTTACAAATACAAGAGAAATGTGTGTCAAAGTCTGATTTTGAAGATCGTAATAAAAAAATATCCCTTAATTCTCCGCCAATTAGCACATATAATTTATTTTATTTATCTTATGTCCTAAAACATGAAATGTTTACTCTGGTTTAATCTCAGATGCTGAGAAAAAGGTTAAACCTTTTTTTTTTTTTTTTTTCACCAAACAGTTTGTGTAAACATCCTGCTTGTTGGTGTATACAGGCCTGACAATCCATGTTATGCGTATGAATTTAGAAACTAATGAAAATTAGGAACTAATTACTACTATTATTACAACTAACCGGGAAGAAAACATTTCACTTTGACAAAAGAGCTTCATCTGTGGTTGCCAGGAAAAGCACTATCAAGCACTACATACCTCTTTGAGGGCTTTCAGCAGTTTGGGCCTCTTGTCTTCTACGCTCTCCCTGGACTGCTGCTTCAACTTCCTCAGCAATGCTGTGACTGTGGGAGAGGAAAGAGACAAAAAGAAGCATTAACACTGAAGAAGCTTTTCATCTCTGTTCAAAAAAGGACTGCCTTTTAAACTTTTTTAGCACAGCAAAAAGAACACTGGATGCACGCAATCAGCTCCAAAAACAGAAGAGAACTCTTGACTTTTTAATACTCTGCTTTAATGGGTCTGAGTCCCATTTTACGATATCTAAGCAGGTCATCTATGCACTCTGTTATGCTGTTGCTGTTTTGGCAGAAGGAAACTGTGTTTTTCAACATGTCCTGAAAATCAGCCTCATCACTGAGAAACTCGCTTTAAAAGCTCAATTTTCATGTTTATGTTTAGTGGTTAACTGATCTTTGTTTCATGAACTTTTTCCTAGATTCTCTAAAAGCCTAATTTAAAATTGTCTAACAGTCTAACTTGTTGGGGGATTTACTTTGGAATAAGTTAAACTTATACCCGCATTTATACCCGTTTGTTGTCATTTTGTTCTAACCTCCTCCAATGTTATACTCAAAGGACAAGAAAGCCATTTTGTATAGATGTACTTATTTAGTGCACATTTCTTTTTTCCCTGGGAAGTTTTTTTATTTTCCTTTTGAGGGGGAATTATTTATATTATATTGTCATAAAATTATATAAATGATATATATAATTGGATTTATTTATAGATTATTTCCTAACAACTTCGTATAGCACCTCATTTCCCATAAATATGTATCTCTGCATGGGTCAGCTGATTTACAAATTATCACATATCATGGCTCTGGAGCAAAACAAAATAACTCTTATTGACCTCCTTTTGGTTGATAGTATTTGTTGGATTCACACAACTGCATTTTAGTACAGTAGAGTATGACTGACAACTTTAAGTATAAATCCTCAGGCTTTACTGTATCAGTATTAACAAAACATATTAAAAAACAGTGCATACATAATGATATAATCATTTGTTAAATGAATTAGAAAGATTTTTTCCCAGTGCTCTGTTCCTAAAACAACACATCTTACTGAATAACAGATATAGATGATGCTATACTTACCAGTTATTTATAGTAATATAAATAATATAGTATAGAGAATGAAGATAAACTAAAGTTGGCAATAATTTGTTTGTATGACTAGATATTTGCTGGTCTGGGAGAGTCTGACGTTTCTTGCAGACATGCTGTTCTTAACTTGCAAGCTGTAGGTTGCATGTTCTCTTCCTAAGGGTGACGGATGGCTCTCCTTATGTTTCCATGCCATATTATTTGCAGCTGGAAATATTTCCCGACAGCTAAACTTGGCTTTCTTGGAAGCGACGGAAATGTGTGGGAACCTTCCTTCTACCACTACAACACTATCTCTGTCATCTCTGAAAAAACAAAAACAAAAAACAAACAAACATGCAAACATTATGATGGGAAGTTTTTCAGCTTTAAAACTATCATATCAGGAATTTTGAAACCTTGAGATACATTGACAACAGTGACTGGTTCATGAGAAGAGTGGCTAATGCAAAATGACTTTAAATCCTCATCAGTTGTAAAAGCAAGCACAAAAAAATAGAACTGAACAACATTACCAAGTCATTTGATGGCAATATATTGGTACAATGTAATGATGCTATGAGCTCCTTTCCTTCTCTGCTCTTCCAACTTTATCTGTGACATTTAACATCTTGAACTCTGTAACCTGTGTTTAGTGTGAGCTACTAATGCAGTAAAACTCCATCCTGGCTGAATATCTTATGAGTGTGCTAAGTGTAAACTCACAGTACTTGAAATCCATCACCCTTCAACTTTCCACATAGCCTGCAATATTAATATTGTGCACACAGATAGAAGAGGTAGAGAAGATGACATATTCATGATTTATTGTGTAGCCCTGGTATGAAACATCCCCCTGGCAGGTATGATGCGATGTTTGGCAAACAGCAACAATGGATAAATATAGTGGGCATGCAAGGACACATAGCTAAACTAACAGTTTCTCCCTAGACACGACTGACGATGCAATAGGGTAGAGGTTAAAAACATCCAGCTAAAATGCATAATGTATTTTTCTTGAGAAATAGGCCAATTTTATAATGCACTTGATTCTTCTAAGCAATCATGATGCTCTGACTGCAGGGAACAAAGAAAAATACAGGAAGTTCAAAGGGAATGAGCCTAGCAGAGATGAGGCATTCTGGTAATAAGCGCTGCCTTTGACCTCCCTATTGACCAGAGGGAGAGTTATTTTCACAGACTTTTAACTATGACCAGTCACATTATCAAGCATTTGCAGCTCTTTAGACCCATCAGGAAAAATAGGGATTCACATCTGAGAGTTGTGTGTTTATGTAAGTGCTACTTCCTATTCAGCAGATAACCAGCCATCTGTAGCTCATGACATAGTTGTGGTTCTTTGATGAAGCCAGGAAGGGAATAAATGCCCACATGACTTTACCAGCTACAGCCCTGGAAACACTTAATAAATAGAGTTTCTATTTTGTCTATGACAGCCCAAATGTCCTACTTTTGAAAAAGACCACAAAAAAACCCCCAAAACTTCTTGACCAATAGGAGATCATCACTCCTATCAAATCCATGAGTTAACATTAAAACAGGTTGTTGTTATTATTTCATGGATGCCCCCCCTCCCCCATGTAGCAGTGCAGATTCAGAGGTAGAATTGGGCCAAAGTGGAGCACAGGCAACCACACACATTGACACACATGAAGACACTTGTGCCAACTGAACCTGACACAATCACAGGATGTGGGGGATCTTTGTGGGCTGGTTTAATGAATGCTGACAAGCACTGGTCGGGGTTCCTCTTGATCCTCAACGCCTCTCACTATGACAAGGAAAGGAGCATAATTTCACCATCTGGCCATGGACCACCTAGCCAACACAGGCTGAGAAACCGATGCAAAACACCGCAACACAATACCAAACTGACCCTTCATCCTTGAGACATTGGGAAAGTTTTTTGGCATTAATTGAGTGACTAACCGTAGGGGCTTCACTACTGCCATCTAATGAAAACAGACATTTTCCATCACTACAAATTGCAACAACTTAATTAGTCCTTGGGACTAATAACACAACTGCTTCTGGAAGCTCTCAAAGAACAGATACTTGCTAGTTAACCTCTAGCAGAACCAGACTAAGTATAAGTAGCCAAGGGGTATTTCCTCTGACACTGTGGGCTAGTTTAATGAATGCTGTTCAATAAACCACTTAACAATAACTTAACTGTTGTTAAGTTATTGTATCACTTAACAATAGTTAAGTGATTATTGTTAAGTGATACAATAATCACTTAGTTGGAATTGGTTTTATTAGGTCTAATCAGTGATCCGGAAGGCAAGTTATTATAAAAAGATAAAACATAAATAAAGGTTAGGAACACCTCCATGACACCTCTGTCATGGAACCTGCCACATTTGTATTTCTTTCCGTGACAGTCCTTGGAAAAAAAAAAAAAAAGTAATTTATCAATATCAGTTGCAAATCTCAAAGAAATGGGTATTGACCCAAAAAAGCCTGATCTCTAAGTGATACCTAAAAATTGACTGGAACTATTATGTGATGCTGGAAACATTACAATGCTTTGCTTTTCAGTAGCTTAACTGGCTGTAAACATGAACAAAATCTAAGATTAGTTCTTAAGTCAGAAATTATTAGGTCAGAAAATAGCATCTAAATATTGATCAAAGCCTTGTTTGAACATATTACTCAAAAGGACAGTTCCCAAAACACTAACACTATCCTTTTTCACACACGGATTGCTCCTTGAGGGATAAAAAAAAAAAAAAAAAAAACATTCTGGCTTGGCTAATTTATCCAAACTAAACAGAGGTAGGTCCAATGCTAGATCAATGTGTGTCCAGACACTGGCAGTGTTACAGAAACAGTGCTGTTTATAAGAGCAGTGTGCTGACTGCCCAGTGTCCTACTTCACATATGGGTGCAAATTAAAGCTTCCTAAATAAACAGTCTGAAACCATATCATGTTCCACCCCCAAAAAAGATGCTAGTGTGCAACACAGAGGCTTCAAGCTTCCTCAAACTGCTGGGTGAGAGTAAATGGCAGCATTTGAAAAACATTGCTTGAGATTTTAATTTGCTTGAGCACATGTTTTTCTGCCTCAGTTTTTCAGAAGACAGCTCTGGTGTAGCTTGGTTGTTTATTTCCTCTGCAGAAAGCACTTCAGGCAGACACTCCCATGAAAAAACCGCTCCCAATCATATAACACTAAACATTACTGAGACAGCCTTTAAAACAGATCTTAAAGCAATTGTGTGAGTAGAATAGTAACTAAGGAGAGAAAGAGCTATTTTCCACAAAACACAGTCTATTTTTGAGCCCCCCTTTGCTTTGTTTTGTGTTCGTTCAAACACAAATAAAAGTCAGAGATGCATGTGCCTGCTGGCAAAAATGTCTCTGAAATGATCACTATGTACATAAACAGTTTATGAGCTTTATGAATTGACAATAAGTGAAACAAATGACTAGCAGGAACTAATCTCAATCCTATTAAACCCAGGATGTTTGTCTGTCTTTAAAACAAACAAAACCTTCAATGGTTCCACTTCCATCTTGAAGCCCTGACAAACACTTACTCAGATCACACTGGATAACTTTGGTCTTTGATAACTTTGGCTTTATCAACCTAACTTTGAAACATACTCAGCATTTTTGTGCTGAACAGAAAACAATTGTTACAGTTTACATACTTCTGCACTTTTTTTATATTGTTATTATGACTTACACATAGATAGGGTGAAGTCTCACCCCTTCTTTTAATTAATATTTTCTTGCCAACAGCAAATTTCAAATCAAGCGAAAAAAGACACGAGAACCAGGCTTGGAACAGGACAATCAAAATATGTGCATAAAGGGAAGAAAAACCCTGGAATACATTGATCTGGCAATCCACAGATCAAGCAAACTCTTATCACCCAAGCAAGTCCCTGCCTTTTAAAGTGTTAAATCAGCCATCTGTGGCTAAGCTGTCACAAGACTGGCTGGGTCCGATCATTTTTGTTTTAGTGCATTAGAGATTCAAGTCCCTTTTGGATTCCCGATCCATCAGCTAAGACAGGACAACTGTAGCATCTATGAGCAAGATGTTTAGCATCGTCTCAGATTCAAGAGAGAAAAGGTGGTTGGAATAATGATTATAGAAAATACAAATACATGCCTTCATAGGACTTCAAAATTGTATGCATTCACAACTATGCATTACTTTGCATTGGTGATATGAAATCCTAATACTATAAGTTAAAGTGTACTTTTATAGGAACTGCTATATTTTTATTAGGCAGTATGTTCATTACTGCAACATAATGGCTTTATGTGATAAAAATAGCAAAGAGAATCATTACAGCCAGAAAACCATAATAGTATTTTCAGAAACTGGCTGAGAGTGATTCATTCTGCTGTCTGGACACATAGCAGTGTGCTGCAGTACACATAAGTGCTACAACAATGGGATGATTGAGCTAACTGAGAAGTCAACATCCTGGGCAACGCAGACTGTTACGATGTGTGAAATGCTGTAATCTCGACTATTATGTCAGGAAAATTGAGGGTTTTGGAGGTGTAAAGCTACAGCATCCTTCACAACTCTGTCATTTATTTATAAATGGCCTAAGAATGATTACTGTCCTTTTTTTTGTCCAGTATACCATAATAAGACTGAATTAAGGGTTTGTAAACAAAATTACTGGACAACAAAGCTGTTAGCCACAGTAGTTAAGAGAACAGGATGACACGGGTGCATTGTGAAAATTCTGAATTTTCCCCTTAAATTTGCCTGCATGTCAACTCCCCCATTTTGCCTTTCCTTTTTAAGGGTCTCTCAGAGGATAACTGGGTGGGTTTTATACTCCTGCAGGTATGCTCTCATTATGTTTGTATGCCTAACTGATTTGTGGTGCGTTAAAATTGGACTTGACATGGTTTCTGCTTTGGCATCAGAAGATGTGACAGAAACTGTTTGGTTCCTTTGTGTTCACACTATTATTTGATGTTCCCACAGAACTTGGCAGAACTAAAAATAATAATAATAATAATAATAATAATAATAAATAAATCACAAAACATCATGCTACACAAGAAAAGTATGTTTTGTCAATTTGAAATACCTTACCCTTATTTTGTAGAAATAAGCATCGTCAGCATCCACATAAAACAATTGTAAAATGTGTCTTGACATACTTTGTTCAAATGTGTTCATTTTATTTATTTATTTATTTATTTTTTGCCTTTATATTTGTGTTGTAGAGGAAAATATGGTCTTCAGAAGGTTGCAAGACGATGTAATTGCAAAATTATCAGCTTCAAGTAAACTTTAAATGAACATGTCATTGTAAAATAAATGATTAAATATCTCAAGCAATCCCCTAATATCTTTTTGATGTGATGTGATTTCCTTTTTATTTTTTTTAAAGGGCAGAAATAAAATTGCTTTTGCCAATACTGCACTTAAGCATGTGGATGGTACGTTTAGCTATAGTTGCAACTTGAGTAGGCCATTTAATAAGGCAACTGTTCTTGTATCATTGTACAAGTATGAAAGTAGAATACATTTAACCATACTATGTCAGACTTCTTCTGCAACCGATAGACAGGCAGCACTATGCCCTCTTAGCTTATTAGTGCAGGGCTTTTTTTTTTCAGATGACCCATTACATGACAGAGAAAACCAACTGATACACCATATATCAGGCAGCAAAATTAAAATCTAAATCCTACTAACAGAAGTTTGTTGTGTAAACAAACTTCTGTCCCCCTCATTCTATCCCTTCCTCACCAAAATGTATCACAAATCTGACTGAAGTGACATCTTTGAGGAGTTAGTTTTGTTGTGTAACAAGGCTATGCTTACATGTAACAACAAAATACTCAGAACATTTCAGGCTAAGATTTTTAACACTCTGAAATGTGTTGGAATTCAGTGGAATCAGTGTATGATGAGTGAGAGAAATGTCTAGTGAATATCCTTTCATTAAAACAGAGGCTCTGAGAACTTTGAGGAATGTACCCTCTTTCTGATGAACAAAAGAAGAGGGCCACCATCATGGCCTTGCTGGGAGGCAGCAGTTTGGCGGAATGTGCAGGGTCTTTGTTGATTTGCATCAAGACTTTCCTCTGTTCCATTGTGGTTTTCATACAGAAAAAAAAAATCTGACTGAACCCACAGTTATGACTGTAAGCGGGCTGTTTGACTGACATTATGCAACCACTATGTACCTGCAGCGGGGCTTCACACTTCTTGTTTGTTTCAGATACTTACTCATTTGTCGATCTCCGTAGCTAATGGCCTCTGCAAGGGGGCTCCATCCCTGAGCATTCTTCACCTTCACGGGTGCATTGTGAGCCAGTAACAAATGGGCACACTCTGTGAAAAGGACAGTCAGGTAAACAATCATAAACATTGAAAGCACATCTACCAAACATCACCGACAAGCTACGCAGACAGAGAGGAACAGTTTGTCTTACACAAACCCAAAGACACGTTTTCACATCGACATTTTTGACTAGTACATTTGTGACTTATTATTAAAACCTCAAACTTGTCTTACAAATATTTATTTGATGGAAGACAAACGATTCTCTCAAATGTTACATTTGTACATTATCAAGACTGAAATTTATTCATATTCTTCTTTGCAAGCTCATGAAGATTGGATGGGGAGAATGTGTTGACAAATACTTTTGACTCATCACAGATTAGGCTTGGGTCTGGACTTTGGCTGAGCAAATATAACACAAGCTTTGATGTGAATGATTTCCTTGTATTCATTCCCCAGAGATGTGGATCTCTGTAGCTCCTCCAGAATTACCATGAGTCTTGCCATGTGTATCTCTTCAGGAGGAAAGCCATGTCTTAGTAGGTTTGCAGAAAAGCTGCACAGCATATGGCAAATGTATCAACATCTAATTTGTATGCAACTTACATGTCACAAATATGTGCTTCCTTTGGGCTATAATAAATGCTAACATTTACATATTTTGCATGCAGGCTTCCCCAGCCCTGAAATAAATTAAGAGACACTTTGTTTTAAGATGGAAATAATAATTATTTTTTTCAGCAGGTAATAGGTGGCATTTATGCTTGTTGTGAACCCAAAGTAGAAAGACATAAACACTGCATTTAATTTTATTTCCAGTCCTCCGTCAGATGAATTGGAGATAATGTTTTGCAATTTAACTTTACCTTAAACTTCTCCAAAATGTTTTGATGACTTGTCTGCTGTGTTGTTTGGTTTTCATATTTTTTTGCTTGTAATTTTCTCTACCAAACCTCAGTGACCTTCGCAGAAAAGGTGTACTCATATCACACATAGGTTGACTAGTTTTTACTAATTAAGGGAATTCTAGCCACAACTGGTTGCTTTTGATCTTATTCCGGGCTATCAAAGAGAAAGGGTATGATTACAAATGCATACCACACTTTTCATATTTTGTAATTGTATAAACTGTTGAAACTTCTGTAGATTTTTCCTTCCTCTAGTTATGCATTTCTCTGAAGTTGTAAAATGTGACAAAATGCTGTAAGGCACTGCGCAGCAATCAAGGAGTATATTTCTTGAAATAGATTCAAGAAATCTATTTTTTGAAAAACATATTCTAAAGATGTTTGATGTTGCTATGGTTACGTGCAGGTCAAGACGTTTTCTGTTCAGATTCATCATCCATTGAATTTAACAAATGACAGAAAGGTTTATTCTTCTTGTGGTAAACATGTATCTGCAGTATATGTTTATACTGTCATTGTAAACATATCGGACCACGTCAAGTGTACTCTAATATGGGTGATGTCAGCTACCTCCACCATGTCTGATTTAACTACAGGATCAATTGAGCATTTTGAGAATAACTCTGATTATAAAGACAGATTAAGTAGGACTGAGATGACAGCTGACCTTTTAATAAATCGAGCCATGTGGGACATACAGCTACAAAAGACACAGAACACTAATTTAATTATCACTAAAAGTCCAGATCCAAGTGAATAAAACAGTTAAGTCACTGGAACACACTAGCACTGTGTAGAGTGGATCTCAGAGCTGTAATTATAGTACAACAGAAAACTGGCCAGACAGTCACTTTTTAATTCAAAAATCAACTCTGAGAGCAGCACAGAAATCCTTCCACTCTCTGGGCAACTTGTCAGCAAACTACAGCCAGCCAAAAATGAAGTCTGTTGTTCCGGCTCAGCTGTCTGTGTTGTTGTGACATCATTTATTATAATGCTGGCATCTGTCAGCTCTGTCTCAGCCATTGGCTGAGCAGTTACAGTCCTGTGAGCACTGCAGCAAACAAATGCAAACCCAGCCCTAACTGCTGCTGACTGGATACGCTGGGCTCTCACATGAGGCGGCAATGAAAAGTATTTTAGCTGATTCTGAGTCAATGCGAACTACCTCAAGTTTTTGCGCTCATGTTCAGACTTGTCCTTTATTAAACTTCAGTATGAAAAAAATGCCATAACGTCTGCCTTTTGAGTGTAACATGTTCTCACAATCCCACATCAACCACCTACATCCTCGCCATGTTTAATAGATGAGAAAGCAGCCAGGGTCCCATGTATTCTTAATAAGTGAGAGTGACACACTTGAAACGTTTCCTGAATAAACATGAAAACACAACAAAAACATGCATGGCTGTATATAGTTTGTTCACAGAAAAATAGTAAAAGGGATCTTGTGACAGCAACAAAAGTACTGCGGCTGCATTCCTTTAAAGCAGTTATTGGCTCTTCAAAAATGAGACAGAGAAAAGACAATTAAAACAAAGACAACCATGTTCAAACGTCTCCCTTTTCTGCTCCTCTTGACACATTTTTCCAACACTGTCCTCGAACTTTTTACTTCCAGTTTCATTCTAGTCAAATCCCAGGCTTTTATTAAATACAAAGATGGCAGAATGCGTCACAAACAGCCCAAGACCATGAAATTTAACAGCAGGACCCTGCTAATGCATCGGTCGACCTGTGACAGAGCCCGGGGCTGAAACTTCTGATAACTGAAGCTGATGTTGAGAAAATGCAGGCAAACAGATGCACAGATGTACGCTCCCTTTCTGATGTAAGCCTTAGGTCCCCAGAGGCCTTTGACCTCTACATCACTTTGCTAAATCCAGTGGTTGTGTAATAACAACACGAGCATTTAGCAGATCCATGGGAAGAGCAGTCAGGCCATATGTCCTTCTGGTCTGGGATTAGGCACTTTAAGCACTCTGTCTGGCTATGTAGATGGAGTGGTGATATTGTAGGTCATCATGAAACATGGACAAAGACTTTTTTTTTTTTTTTTTTGGCAATAGATTTCTGTTATATGCAATACCTTCAACCACTTCCCATTTATGGATGAAATAAGTATCGCTTTAACTTTTATAACCACTGGGCAGACCTGGAGCAACTATGTTGATCTCAACACTCTACATACTATACTTATTATATAATTACCTATGATATCTGCCTATTACTATGTTATCCTTTTAAACAGCAGTAACTCACTAACCAACAACAAGGCTGCATCTAAATGTACTTTGAATGATATGAACAGAAGAGCAGTTGACTACCATAGAGACTGGACACAAGCTGTTGGAGAGACATTGCTGCCATACTGTGTCTGCTGCTTGGGGTCAAGAGACGCGGCAGGTGAAGCTCCCCTTTCAAGTACTGCTTGAATTCTATATGCTTTTCTCATTGCCACCTGTTTTTATCTTTAATTAAGCACTTTATGTTGTCTTTGCTTGTCTTTGGTGTGTAATGACTGTGGATAAAACAATAGTATTTAAGATAAATGAATCAAAACAAAACAACATGTTAATTGATAATTAATTTGCCCTTTTATGCACAATCTGTGACGGAGTCGAGCAGTAAAAATAATACAGCAGGTGGCAAGTTTTATGCAAAACCTGTTTTACACCTCAAACAACATCGCCCATCTGTCCGGCATTATGCTTAGCATTGTCTATTGCAATTCTGGCCTCTCTGACACTTTTGCATACCGGCTTATCCCAGCAAGCCAGTGTAAATGTTCCAGTTTTTCAAGCCACTCATATGCATAACTGTCACTGCTGGAACGGTAAATAAATAATAAACATCTGCACATGCAATACTACACACAAAAAGGGCCTTGTCCTCTCCATCCATAAAGGGCAGCCACGCCCAGACAGTGATCTCATGCTGTAGCCTTAAGCCTGACTCGCCTGAGTCTCCCTGGAGGACAGGGAGGAAAACAAGCAACCTCATTAGCGCAATCAATGCCATGGCCTCCTATCCGACAAAACACTGTCACTTGGCTGGCGGAGTTACCAAAATTGTAGTGGCAGGGCTCTGATGCCAGTGACAGGAATTGACCTTTGTGAATGTGAAATCAATTGAAACTAGTGCTCCCATGACTGACACTGAATGAATAGAGCTGTGAAGTGCATGCAACTGCGTGCCTGATGTGTGTACCAATTTTCAGCAGCAAAAAACAAAAGTAAATTTTTTCATTCTAACACAAATAAGATGCTTCAAATCTGTATACACATGCCTTCAGTCCCATTCAATTCAGCTAAAAACAATATCGCTTAAAAGACAGTAGCAAGGGTTTGATGTCATAATATGCTCACTATATAACTGAAAAATATATTTAAATGTTCTCAAATATACAAACATTTTTTTTCAGAAATACATTTTCTTTGTTATTCCAACCTATACCAATAAAGCATAACAGGTTGGCTTATGTACGCTTATAAGATATGGCAAATGTTATCAAAGATTAATTTATCAATGTTGAAGCATAATTTCCCAGGTTTATCGTTATAAGGCTAACAGTAGAATATCACCTAAAGTATGACACTCTATCTTGTCTTTGTAATTATACTATAGAGTTACACAATATCATAATTGTCATCATGATGTAAGGACTGTTTGGACACAAAACTTGGTGCAATATTATATCTGAAGTGTCTTGTATTCAAGCTCTGCATTTTGATGTGACCTGTGGCATAGACTCTAACTTTCCTTAATGCTAACACCTGATCTATTTTTTTAGTGGTAGGATGCTAAAGGTCAATTGTCTGCTAATCTTAATTCATTTCATCTTCGTATATTTCAGAAATCGCAATTGCATATTTTCCTGACATTGTGCATCCCTATTATATTATACCACTTAAAATGGAATGTTCCATCATGGTTTTATATATTTAATATTCACTCAATAAGTGTTTATTTACAGAGAAGTATGTTGGTTTGATAGTCAAAAGCCTATTCCACACATCATGAGTTAAATTAATGAAGTGAATATTTCCAGTATCAGAAGAATTATCTTCCATAAACTCATGATAGAAAACCCTAATGATAAAGAGTTAAGCTCTGATTCTTAACCAGAAGAAAACAATAAAACACCACCAACACCCTTTCACTCATGCATAAGCATCTTGCCTGCTGGGATTTGTGTGGTGATCTGTCACAAATGTCTGGTGGTGCTTAGACACAGACACAGAGGCAGAAAAATAAACTGAAACACACAACAGAAACAAAGAAAAACACAAACAGACGTCATATGTGCTTACAGACATCTTCATTCACAAAACAGAAGCAGACAGCCAGTCAGAAACAGAAATACACCACATGGCAGGGACCGTTTCACAATGCTCACCTTTGTGTCCCATCATGACAGCGAGGTGCAATGGTGTGTTTCCTGTAGACAACAGAAAAAAATGAATTTCTATAGTGACTAATAGAAACAGGAGAAAGCAAAGACAAGAACTTTATCTGTAGAGCTGTCACAGTTTGGATAATTTGTACTTTTATACTGGAAAGCAAAACACACAGAGTTCAAAATGATATGGTCATGATAAATGCCTATTATGAGTTCTCTCACTGTGCCAGCCTTTTCCAGCAGCTAACAACCAAATGTACCACAAACTAATCTAAATTTATCTGGTGGTGACATGGCTAGTTAGCTAAATATAATCACTTCATGGCAAGAGCAACCTTATATATATAATCCCCCAAAAAATAACTTTTTACAGGTGTGTGGAAAAAAAGCATGTTTCTTCCCAAGACATAAAATGTGCCTCAGAGGAAGCCAAACTGCCCAGTCAGCTCCTTAAAGGATTCTACTGCGGAAAACATGATGAGAACAGGCAGTCACTGTAGGGAGTGCCTTCAAATGATGTAAGCCCTGATATGGTGTAAAATACAAGCTACAACTCTGACATGATGCTGTGGTAAATGATTAGAGGTGTGAGTATTTTACGTAGGAAGGGGTGCTATATGCCCACGAGACACTTATCTCCCATTTTACTGGCAGCCATAAAATTGTTTCTCATAACACATGGGTGTGATCTTGCTGATAGGGTTTTTAGAGATTTTAAGGTTGGTCACATTAAAACAGGATACACTTCCAAGTCAATTATAACTTCTTAAAAGGATCCATTCCAGAAAATTTAAAAGTGGATATAATGAATTTAGCTATTAGTGTAATGAATCTCTACAAGCCACTCCATGCACTGGCTACTCATCAGTATCAAGCTACTGAGGTTCGAAAAGTTATTTTCCAGACTATTCATACGCTTGAACTCCTTTTACTGAGATGTCAATGAAAGTGCAGAGTAGCATTGTGATGCCCCTCCCCCACACATTGCTTCCCACTGCTGCTCAGCTAGCTGAAAGAGGGATACTACCCCCAGCAAATCTGTCTGTTCCATACACACTTTTACCACAAACATTTTAAAATAATTGACTATATTCTACTTATATAGTTTGCTGTAGCTACATGGCATTTTACATCTTAACCAAACAATATCTTGTTTGGTTAAGACAAACAACATATTTGTCTTAACCAAAATAAATAATATTAAACCAAAATATTATTATTTTGGTTTATTCAGGGATCATAGTCTTATCCATACTTTCAGTCATATTTCATGAGCTGGCTCGTCAAAGCAGAAACCAGAGCCAAAATAAATGTGAATAAAGGAATATTTATACAAAATATCAGAGGACCATTTACAATAAAACTAAATTAAACCTAGGAAAACTTGAGCTTTAATTCAATAGTTCCTAAAAATATTTCCAACAAGTAAATTAGTAAAAGATTATGAATGAGTTCCTTTTCAGGTATAAAATGGAGGTAGGAAAGGACAAAATGCCAGTGGTTAAATGTGAAATGGTAGAGAATTGGCAAAGGACTTGGACACCGTCACAACAGACAGCGATTTAACAGTCAGAAAATGCTCTTTGTGTAAGTAAATAAATAAATGTTTTTTTTTTTTTTTGTTTGATTCTTGTATTTAAATTTGGCATTACATGACTGAAATTTATTGGGGGTTTTTTTCTGTTATCTGTCAGAAGCTGAACTACTGTGGAGATAAGTATTCGAAAAGTAGCCAAACCAGACCAACCTACGTCACAGAGGAAAAGTTTTTGACAAGTACAGGTTCAGGTTCCACAACAACGCCTTTCTGTCTGACACCCTGTTCAATCAGGCAATGTGAGAGAGCACATTCCTATGTTGACATTTGGTACAAGTAGGGGCCAAATTCTGTGTTGGTATGTGAGCCAGAACAAGACAATCTTGTCCTGCTGTCAGTCCAGTTTGGGATAGAAGGGGTTTTATGTGGAAACTACTTTGTTATCTGAGCAGACTTTGCCCCAAAGAATAACTGCAACAAGCTGGTCGTTCCCAAAGTTTTGTAAAACGCACCTTAACATATAATCTATAAACTTGAATATAGGCTGAATTAAAATCAGGATTCTATAAGTATTGCTGATAAATTGTTAATTTCACTGCTCAGGGTTGATACGATATGCTACTGCCTGGAATGGGAAGCCTCTTATACAACTTCTTTCGTGACAACAAGAAGGAACTATTTTATGTGAAAGATGCGCTGATGCAGCTTTTACGGGATGATATGCAATTTTCTTCAGGCCTGACTTACCTGAACCAATTTCCATGATTTCCTTTTTTTTTTTTTTTTTTTTTTTTTTTTAAAAAAAAACTGCAAAAAAAAAAAAAAAAAAAAAATAAA